TATCTATCTATCTATCTATCTATCTATCTATCTATCTATCTATCTATTTATCTATCTATCTATCTATCTATCTATCTACCTACCTACCAATATAGATCTACCTACCCACCTACTTATCTACCAATCTATTTACCTACCTACCTACCTATCCATACATTCATCCAAAAGGTCTGCCTACCTGCCTACCTACATATCTATCTACCAATCTATCTACCTACCTACCCACCTACCTGTCTCTCTCTGTCTCTGTCTCTCTCTCTCTATCCATCCATCCATCCATCCATCCATCCATGTTCAAAGCGCCAGCCCCACAGGAACATTGGGAAAATAGAGCAAAGCCAGTCTGGGGGGTGGGGGGGAGAGAGAGAGCGATAGAGAGACCTGATGCATCAGACGGAAATGAGGCCTAGTTTAGACTGAGGCCCTTTTTTACATTGAAACATCTTTGCCAACACATTGAAACATATTTGGCTTCTATCAAAGGTTTTGTGGACAAAACATAGTCAAGACTATTAGGAAGCTCTCACATTTTGTTGAGGCTTTAAACTGGATCCATTGGACCAGATCTCCATTCTAAAAATTACTTTTCCCCAATGTATTACAGTGCCAATTTTGAAGAAGGCAAAACCAAAATGTACTGATAAATTACAAGAACACACACACACACAAACACTCCCTTCTAACCCTGCTGGAGCAGGTGATTGGACTAGATTCGATATCTCATTATCTTTCTCCTCCCTCCCTCCTTTATTTCTTTTTCTTTCTGTCCCTTCCTTCCATCCCCCCTTTCTTTATTCCTTTTTCTTTCTTTCCCTTTTCTCTTTCTTTTCTTCCTTCTCTCTCTCTTTTCTTTCTCTCTCTTTCCCTCTCTCAGGCTCACCCCATTGACTTGACTTGCTTGGGCAGGTCCCTCCAGCACAGTGGCTTCAATGGGGTGGACCTGTGGGGCTGGCACCTAGAACGCGGCAATGACGGCATGTTTGAAAAGTAGAGCAAAGCCAGAGGTTGGTAATTTTTGCTGCAAAGAATCACAAAAACTTCTGGGTTGTGCACAAGAAGGGATACACACGTCAATGCAATTCAGCAACATAAAATAAAGAGATACAAATAAAATAAATCAACAAGAATCAGCAAAGCATCTCTGATTAGATTTTATTCACTACTAGAATCTAATAAAAAATGCTTTGCCAACTCTAGTGCAATGACCTGTTCCAGCAGGGTTAGAAGGGAGTGTGTGTGTATGTGTGTGCATGGCTGTCAAAACTACAAAAACAGGTCAAATATCTCTGGGGAGGCCAGTCATAAATTAGAACACTTGCTAAACAACCAGCCATTAAGTGAGGACCACTTGTATTTGGTTTGCCAGTCACCTGGCTACACCCACCCAGTCACATGACCACCAAAGCACACCTACCCGGTCATGTGACCAGCAAGCCATGCCCAGCCAGCAAGCCACACCAGCCAGTCACGTGACCAGCAAGCCACACCCACCCAGTCACGTGACCAGCAAGCCACACCCTCAAATTAGGCCACACCCACCCAGTCACGTGACCAGCAAGCCACACCCTCAAATTAGGCCACACCCACAGAAATTTGAATCCCACCCCTGGGTGCGGGGCACCGAGGATGAGTTTGTAGCACCAAGGGGGTGGTGGACTGAAAAAGTTTGGGAACCACTGGTTTAAACCAAATTATTGCAAGGCCACCAACTTATGTATAATTAATCTCACACTTTTTGGTCCTCAAAAAAGTCAGATTCTGAAGGTTCTGATACAAATTTGCTTAACATCAAAACATTTGTGCCCATTCTATGGAAAAATTTGTCACTGAAGTTTGAACCTTATAATAGTTCAATATGGGCCTTAAATTTTTTATTTTTGGCATTCCTCAAGTTTTAGGGCCTTAATATTTTTGGCATTGAGTTTTAATGTTCTTTTAGAATTTTTAATGGCTTTAACATTGTAAATATTTATCTACATTCTTGTAAGCCATCCCAAACTCTTGCAACAATCAGAAATAAACATAGAAACATACCTTAATTATAGAGATTGGTTCATAATAAATTAACCACCACCACCACCACCAACAACAACAACAACAACAATAATAATGCCAGAATAGAAAAATCTGCTGATGACACCAAATGCAGACTCTGCAAAGAAGCAGACAAAACCATTGATCACATACTGAGCTGTTGCAAGACAATCGCTCAGACTGACTACAAACAACGTCACAACACAGTTGCTCAGATGGTCCACTGGAACTTGTGTCACAACTACCATCTGTCTGTAGCAAAGAACTGGTGGGATCATAAACCTGAAAAAGTGGTCGAAAATGAGCATGCAAAACTACTGTGGGACTTCTGAATACAGACTGACAAAGTTTTAGAACACAATACCCCGGATATCATGATTGTGGAGAAGAAAAAGGTGTGGATCGTCGACATTGCCATACCTGGTGACAGCAGAATCGACGAGAAACAACTTGAAAAAATTACCACATATCAGGATTTGAAACTGCAGAGATTCTGGCATAAACCAGTGTAGGTGGGTCCAGTGGTAATCAGCACACTGGGTGCTATGCCTAAAGATCTAGGCAAACACTTAAAAACAATTGGTGCTGACAAAATCACCGTTGGTCAGCTGCAGAAGGCCATCTTACTGGGATCTGCTTGCATAATCCACTGATACATCACGTAGTCCTAAACGCTTGGAATGTGTTCAACTAGTGATTTGTGATACGAAACCCAGCAGAGTTATCTTGTTTGCTGTGTACACTGTTGTTTTTGTGTATATTATTATTATTATTATTATTATGATTATTATTATTATTATTGTTGTTGTTGTTGTTGTTGTTATTATTATTATTATTATTATTATTATTATTATTATTATTAATATAATCGTGTGTTATCCCAATTGTAATTGGAGCCCTTGGAGCAATACCTAAAGGGCTACCTTGCTATTTGGAAATTCTGAATTTATCAGACTTGAATATCCTGATTCTACAAAAAACCACCATATTTGGAACAGCTTATGTCTTCCGACACTACCTGAATAGTTCCTAGGTCCTTGGTTAGGACTCAAGCTGTTGAGTTACCTACCAGCCCCAAAGGCAGTGAATCTCACCAAAGATTAATAATAATAATAATAATAATAATAATAATAATAATAATAATAATA